CCTTTACGATTGTTTACATTCAAACCAAATTTACAAATGGGCTCATCAGCTGGCAAAGAACTTTCCAGATGTTGGTGTCAATGAAATCCATGACATTGAAGCGTGTTTTTCACGATCGAATTTGAGCACAATTCAATGTCGTTGCTTGCCCGACTTGAAACACATCGCCGTTTGTTTTTAATCAATTTAAACTATTTTTGGTGGTAACTGAGAAAATTCCGTTTCTAACGTTAATTTTCTTACCCGTGTACAATATGGTACTGTCTTTTAAAACATGCAGTGCAAATGACAACGAACTTGACAGAGCTTGGTGTCAATTGAGCACAATTCAATGGCTTTTCAACAAAGTTTCGCTTGCACCGGACTATGTCGCCTTTCGCTTTAAAACTCGAGTTGAAGTGAATTCCCCTGCCGCGGATTGATCACCATGCACCCACGTACTTGCCAAAATGACACTCGTTTCCTAGGTTACCTAGGAAATCCTCAAAACACAGATAAAATAAAAAATAAAGTAAAAACAGTGTTTACAACTTTCAAAAACACTTACTAGGTGATAACAGTGATTTTTTCTAACAATAGGGTACTACCCTCTAAGCAAATTTTTTTCCAGTCGTGAACGGAAGCTGCATCAATGTCTGCAATAAAAAAATCTAAACACGACTTGTTTTTAACCAGCAAAATCACGTACGTTAGCAACACTAAAATTCCGCTGAAAGTGGTACATGGTCTCACATATATATATATATATATATATATATATATGGTTTACTCTTCGCGGCTTGTATTTAGGAATTATTAAATACTTTCTCAATCGAACCAATAAAAACATTTTCCACTCTTATTGTTTACTCGTGTTGTTGCTACTTCGGCTGTAGCTGGCGCGGAAGAGTATAATTACGTTGTTAAATATATGATGTATATCTAACATTTGTAATATATTTGTTATTATTTTCAAAAAACGAGAAACTAATTTCCTTTGACATATAAAGAGATCAAGTTGATGTTTTCTGCTTGTTTGAAAATAAATGATAGAAGAGACTTGAGAGTACATATATGTATTACTATACTCACAAAGCGTATACCATACACATTAATTATAACATTAAATATAATCATTGACATATCGTTAACAAGGTATAAGCGAAAGGCGGTCTCCATTATTATGCAATTGTATATACTGCATCTGTTAACACCGTTAAGCTGGGAGGCGCTGATCATTTATTTAAGTGAATTTAAACGTTGTACATTAATAAATGCCAACAGAAATATCATATAAATAGGCGATGCGCAATTAAAAACCGATTACAGAACACGGTACAAATTACAATGTGTGTGAGAGTTTAGTTGACAGTCGTCTTGAAAGATTGATTTGATATCACTGAACGACATTGATAACAATACAATACAATATAAATCTTTCTTATTATAACTTGCAATATAATGTTAAACAGAAAGCGTTTAAATTGTGACTGGGTGGTGTATATATATAAAGATCACGACTGGCACTTGTGCAGTTAACTAGTTCGTTCAGTGATCGATAGTCGATTCTAGCATTGAGTGAATTAAGATTATTTCTCCTATGTGGCCGAGGTCTGGTAAAAGTCCGAGTTGAGACGACCCACTTTCACATCTCAGAGATTTTAAAAATGTGGGGATGACATTGCCCCTCGACCAACTAGTAAACACGATTTACAACAATGAACAATGGCGACGAAGCTAATAGTGGTACATCTTTGTTGAAGAGTGTATTACAGTCAATTGCTGAAATCTGTGAGAAGTGTGTGTAAGGTTAACTCTCCACAGTTAGTAAAAATTTGACATTTAACAAAATGCTACGCGATTTTTGTACACGACACTCTATAATATGCAAATTCAATAAATGTATGATTTAAACAATTGAAGATTAAATGTACAACACTGATATATTTATTTTTCATCCTATCAACTGTAATATATGTTTGTTAGTTTCTCATCAAATAATAATAATTTCCTAATATGGTAGGATGAAAATACCCCGTAAAATACCGCAAAATTACGGCACGCTGTAACTTATGGCGTTGCGGTGACAGATGTATAATAACAGGATATAATGTAACAAAACAAAAGTACTAATGATTAATATTTATAGTAGTATCCACTATTTTTTTTTTAAATCCGCATTTGATTAATCCAACTAGTTTTATAAACAGTGTCGCAATATCGACCAAGATTATTTGTAATAGTTAATAATATTTTTAATTATTACATCAAATAGACCCTGCTAACAAAACGTTGTTAATAGTGTACAGTGGAATATTAAAACCTAGTAACACAGAGTGTTAGATATTTCTTCATCAGTTATGATAATGATGGAATATTTGGTAAAATTATTCTCATCTGAATAAAATGTTAATTCATCTATTATGCCAATTCATATTATAATAATCAATCGACTGGTGAATAATTTATTTCAAGTTATATCATGTTATCGGTCATTCTAAGGTTTAATAAATTTGCAGGAAGGAAATCATCAACAGATTTTCTTTGACAAACTGACACGGCATTATAAATATAAATATCTTTTTGTAACACGTTACATGAACACCACCATATTGTAGTATGTAGTAGGCGTTAGGCCACTGGCACAGGACATGTTCAGGCTCGTCACAATATTCGGGCCCGAGTAGCGAGGGGAACAATCATAACAACATTAGTTTACAATCACTGTACCCGTCTTTAGCAGTTGCCGTTGGTAGTTCCAACGCTCAGGTGTTACCGATAGTACATATTTACTTTTAACTAAATACGGCGTTTACAAAATTC